TCAAAGTCTTCTATACGTCTTTTGTTTGGCCCTTTCATTAATTCGTTCATTATGATTTGTGAGTCTATGATATCCGCGAGTTAGGATGAATTATTACGAGAAATGTTATCAAACTATCGATTACAGATATTTGATTATATGTATATATGATTTCTGTCGTGTATTTAGGTTATACTTTTAACAGAAATATGAATCATACATAAGCATGGCCGATCTGCCTATCTAACGCGCATGTCCGTGCGTATGACCGCTGTCCGTCTATATCTATATCTAACACCATCTCTCCTCTTAAGGAATGTATCATAAAATATTGTTCATGAGTTCACTATCGTGTTCGAACAATTATGCTAACTATAACAGTAAGTAATAAAGCAGTTCTCTATGTAGTTTTCTTAAACAGTTTTCGGATCAAACAGTTAAGACCCCACCTCTCGGGTGGTTGGTGTGATCTAGTTGGGTAACGTTGTCCAGATCCTGTTGTAGCCCTACCGGCTTCTTCTTGTTGGACTACTGGAGGATTTGTGGCTAGTTCGATATCCGGCTCTGCGACAATTTCTTCTGCTGGTGCAATATTCTGGTCAGTCTCTCCGAGCTCTGGATGAGGTTCAGCCGTATCATCACTCTGGTCATTTACTTTCACACTACAGGCTCGAAGCTGGTCGATGTGACGTCGCCAAATTCGATTTGGACCAACTTTTATCTCGTATGAAAGGGGTCCCGTTTGAGCTCGAACTATGCCTGGTAGCCACTTGTCTTTCCCACTGTAATTACGTGCCATGACAGTCTGACCAATGGATAACTGACGTGTGGGGGAATGTCCTTTCCTCCCTGCTTGATCGATTTGCCTGTTCATCACTTTCATTTGTAAATCAGGTTTCACCAAATCGAGGCGAGTCCGTAGCGGTCTGCCCAAAAACAACACGGACGGTGATTCTCCAGTCGTCGAATGTGGTGTATTCCGGTAAGCCAAAAGGAACTTTGCCATATTGGTTTTCAGCTGGGATGTACTTTGTTTCTCACATTTCATAGCATGTTTGAAACTCTGAACAAAACGTTCCGCTTGACCGTTGGTTGCAGGGTGGTATGGGGCCGTGGTAATATGCTTGATACCATTAGTCTTCAAAAATAGTTGGAACTCTGCGGATGTAAATTGTGGCC